ATAATTCTTGACGAAAGAATGATGAACGTTGATATAAAACTAGTGAATGTAACTTAAAACTTTGTTCCTCAACTTTAACGATAACATTGTAATCATATTCACTTTCAAGAAGTTGCGCAAAATCATTTGAAAAACGTTCAAATAATTTAGTGCTCATTTTAGAAGTGAAGATTAGGCTTTTGCAAGCTCATCTTTTATTGGCTAAAAAAATGTCGATCTTACCTATATCAAATATGGATCTCAAAATGAAAATTTTATTAAACAAACTAAAAAGAGTTTATTATTATTATTTTTTTTTTTGAATTTACGTTATAATATAAGGTGCTTTATTAAGCAATTTGATGGGAGTACAAAGAGTTTATTATTTTTAGTGAGCTGACCTTCAAAATTTTTCTGGTTATAATTTAATATCAGCGTTTCGCACTAGAAAATATAGTATTTCAGCGTAGGTTCAATTTATTATTTTGCTATGCTTGCCAAAACTAATACGTAGCAATTATTGTTGCAATTGCCGAAAGTCTAAAATATAGTCGAGTTAAATAAATTAAATAAAAAATGGAAAAGTATTATTTGTAGCAATACCTATGAAATTGAAAATATTAAACAAAAATATTTATTCAATTCAACTATGATTTCTATTTTTTATTATTATTTTATTTTATCTATTCCATTATTCAAAAAACCAAATAGTAATTCACTATTTTTATACTTCGTTATTTATAAACTAAATAAATAAAATTATTAATGATAAATATTATCAACTTAAATAAATTATTATAAATATTCCTTGTCTTACACTATAGATGTGCGCCTAAATTATTTTGAAAAAAAGTATTTTCGGCAATGCTACATTTTTTATATGAAACTCTGAAATAATTATACTATACTACATGACGTATTTTGACGAAAAGGGTTCATAGAATTTCGGCAGTAATTTCAGCAGTAATTTTGGCAAATATGAAAATTAATTTCGGCACCAATGAAGGGCTAATTTCGGCTGACTAAATGCCATAATAATTTTTTATTAAGATGAGCAATTTAGGCAAACATGTATACTTACAGCTAACTTAGCGCGAATAAAATAAATAAGTGTTGTATTTAAAATAAGCTATTCAAGTTATGAACACCATTTAAATTTATTTTTATTCGCATTAAGTAAAAAAAAAAAAAATATATATATATATATATATATTAAAATTATTATTACTTCATAAATATTTACAACTATAAGGTAATCTAAATCAGTGTTAGGGCAGTGGACCAACTTTATTATACTAGACTTATAAACAAGAGTATTGAACCTATAGGTTCCAACTGGAACTTGTAAGCCCAGTTCCAATCAAATTATCAGACTTATAAAGATACTCAACACTGATCTGTATCCTATCATTCTTAATAACTAAATAATAGTCTTAGCGAGTGGATAACATCGAAGAATTTATTATATCCTGGTTACCCAGATAACAATTTCATAACCCGAGTAACTCTTATACGAAGTACGATCTCTAATTTTTACTATTAAAACTTAATGTGTGGTGTAATATATATGATTGCCACTGTTATATTAAAATTTTCTGGATGTATTTAAGTTAGCAACTAAATTAAAGTAGAAAAATAACTTAAGTACTTAAACGACTGATAGGCAACTCACCAAATTTCCAACTTTTAATTATTTAACAAGTCAATTAGATGCGTCAAGTGTATTAATGCTACTTTAAAGTATTTAAAATAGGCACTGTGTTGCTATTAAGTACTAATTTTTTTGGTTTAAATAGTACTCTAAAGTAACTGCACTCCGAATTTTAGAGTACCAAAGTACTTTAGAGTACCTATATAGTACTCTGTAAAAATGGTCCAGTCCATACTCAGTTATAAGTGGGTCCCGGTCAGTGTTCGAAATCTCATGTTCACTAATCATAATCGAAATGTTTCGGAATTATCTATTTTTTATCTTCAAAGCTACTCATAATACTGCCTATATCACTTACTTATGAGAACACTAATATTATTTTACTGTTCTTTTGTTAGTGAACAGTAGAAATTTATACTGTTCACAAATTAATATTAATGCTTTTTTGCGCACTCTGTGCACACTAATTTCGAACACTTGTCCTGGTACTCTATATCAGTGTTGGCCGTTTTAAGTCATATCCAACTTTATATGACCAAGGTGGTCATAATGTATTGTCTAGCTTGTCAACGAAGTGACAAGGCTAGCATTATTGCGAGATCAGAGGATCTCATATCACGTGCGGGACCGAAAAATGTATCCTGATCAGTGATGTAGGGGCGCGTCTAATGAGTTTAGTAAAAATAGAAAGTATTTAATTTAAGTTTGACGCATATGAAAAGGGGGTAAGCTATGAGAAGTTTTCACGAACTTGCATGTGAAGGTTGACTATTTCCATGTGCAGTCTTTACGTATAAGCGGGTTAAGGCTAACACAATACATGTTTTTCGGTAAGTATTTAAAATTGTGAGTGAATGTAAGGAACATTAGTTTCGGTTTCGCTATTGCCCGCCTTATAGTACTAGGCTGGCTCTTTCGACCCTCCCATACCCTCCCTATCAATAAATTAATTATGCAGCTCGATGATCGTCGATGCAAAGACTGCATAAATTCCTCAAAGTGGCTCAACGACTAAGTTTTTAGTGCAATGACCACAGAGCTCCTATAATCTAAGTAGATTAGCAAGGACCTATTAACTTAACGTACCATCTATTTTTCCCGATTCTCTTTCAACGCTATGTTTATACTGCTGATCATTCCCTTTATGGCCTAAGAAAATACTGCAGTTCAAATACTATTGTATGTAGTTGATGTTAGATAGCGAACCCTAAACCCTAATCCCATATGTATATTTCTGATTTATATTCAATAAAGTTTATGATCGAGCAATAATAATAGTAAATTTTATAAGTCATAACAGGGTCATAACCTATAATTGGCCAATAGGTCATAACAGGTCATAGGCCAACACTGCTCTATATGGTATAACCGTTTAAACTATTGATTAAAAATAATTTAACATATACTGTAGTTAGAACACAATTATTGTGAACAAAAAATATTAATAATGAAAAGTAAAAATTAAGCTGTAACACAAACTCTTAATAATGTTCTCATGAGAAATCTGTAAATTCTGTGTCTTAGTACTAGTTACAATTGTAATCTCGGAACTTGCATAGATTAGTAGGAATAGAATATTGTTTTGCGTATGTAATACAGTGCAGTAACGAGTAATAATCGTTTCTAGCGATCTCAACATCGACTCTGCTATGATTTAATTTTTTGCCCAGTAATAGTTAGCTATTCATTTTAAATTTCTGTCTTCGATTCTCAAAACATTGGATATCGATATCATTTAGTTAATTCTAACCCTAAATCAATCGACCTTAATTGTCGTGAACTCATTAACTCACGACTCGAATAACTGAATTTATCATGCAAATTTTAATCGCAGGTCAAACATCTTATAAAAAATTAAAATGATACTTTAATGCTAGATTTTTGTAGTGTAATTTTATAATGATGTATACATAGAATTAGCCCAACAACATGGTTACTTTGATTATAAACTAGTTAATACTGTAAATCTGTATCTAGT